TGAGGATGAGCGAGAGCTGACCCTGTCGCTGCCGCCTCTCCTGTGAAGTGTCTGCTCCTCCTCCTCCCCTGCTGTGGGTGAACCTGCGCTACGGGCTCTTCACCGACACGGGGAGGGGGATTGGTTTGTTTGTGTATTTGTTTAAGGAAAAGAAAGAAAGAAAGAAAGAGAGAGACCTTCCATCCACTGAAGCACAGTTCACTATGATCGTACTCGCATTCAGCACTGGAACCCGGTTGGATTTTGTGTCTCAGTCCAGGGTGTTTTTCTTGCAAACCTTCCTTTGGATTTTATGTGCTACAGTGTGCAAAGCGGAGCAGTATTTCAATGTGGAGGTAAGAGCAGCCGTATGCGTGTTGCGAGAGTGCGTGCTTCCCCTTCTCTCTTTCCCCACTTCCCTCTCTTTCGTATACCCCTAAATAAGATAAAATCGAATAGCCAGCCAACCATGGCTTCCAGCAGCCAGGGCATACGTCTGTGTTGGCTTTCTTTCCCGCAGCCGGTAGCTAGCTCCCCTCCCTCAGTTCCCCCGCCTGATGGATGCGTTTCAGACGGAGATCCCGTTATCCGGCGGCGGCACAAAGCGCGGTGCTGGGCGCTGGAGCGCAGCCCGGCCCCCGCTGCCCCCCACGGGCCACGGGAAACCCTCAGCCCGGGCACGGAGGAAACCTGAGGCGCAGAATGTGGGCGCAGCTCAGGGAATACTCTGTGAATTTGTGAATTCTTGGGCTGAGGATACCGCTGTATTGCTGAGTTTCCCCCATTCCTTTTAAAGAATGAATGAAAGAGCGTTATGGGGACAGGAGAAAGCAAACTTGAGATTTTGTCACGTTTCTTTGTGGTAGAGTATTTGACAATATAGGATCATTTCCCCCTGTAAATGTAACAAAAAGAGTTGCCACTAGAAAGAGTGAAGCAAACGTCATAAAGGTGCAACTACAGCTCAAAAGTTAGAGGGTGTGGAGAACCAGGAAACAGAATTTTTCCAAGTGAAAAAGAAGATTAAATTGTAGGGATACCTAGATAGGGCAAACCCTAAGAGTTTACAATGACAGTGAGAATACAGTGGACATCCATTTCCAGTCACTCTTCTATACACTCCCAGTTTTCCTGTTGGGGGTTTTTACGTAATTTTTTTTGTTACCTAATATTCCTTTACTGACTTTATCATCTTTGCATGTATTCTTTCCTCTTTTCTCTCCCTCCTGTCAGTCCATTTGTTCATAAGCCCTTTTTTCTTAATGTTTCAATGTGATATGTGTATTTCGCTCTTCCTTTCCCCTGTCTATTCAACTTCCTAATCTTTTTTGCTATGTCTCTTTAGTTTACGTGTGCTCTTTCAACTTCTAACACATAATTCTGGTTTTCTGTTAGATCCCTGTGTTCCTTCACTTTCTGCCATCCTGCCAGCCCCACTCCAAACTTTCTGCTGCACCCATACACCACCTGCATTCATTTTTTTTCTCTTTCGTCTCCTGCGTTCCCACAATTCTTTCTCTCAGATAAATGAAGTCTATGTCTTTTCCTCCGTCTCACACGTATGCACACTTACTTATTTTATACGAGCTCTGGTTCTCACTCAGTGACACTTGTTCTTGCTACCGTCTCTGGCAAGATTGCTCCTCCAGATGCTCCTCCATTCCTAGACTGTCTCCCTTTTTGTCTAAAGTTCCTACCAGTGCTACTCCTCCCTCTGCCTCATGCAAGATCACCTCAAACATACAAAAAAATCACTTTTTCTTTCCCCATGTCTGCCTTCATTCTAGTCTTTCTCTCTCTGCAGGCAGTTTCCCTTGCCACATGTACTCCTCTTTGCAGCTTAACAACACACATCCATAGCTCCTCTCTTTGACTTGTATCTCTACAGAAAGTATTGTCTTTTTACTCTGTCATTAAGATCTCTCCTGATTATAAATCCTGCCTTTTTTTCTCTGTCACCTATTGTCTAGTTACTCTTGTTCGTTCCTTCTCACAAGTGTGCATCTCTGCTTCTGTTTGATTGTAACCTTTTTGGGGCAGGACTCATATCTTCTTAAATGTTTATGCAGGGTGTACCATGCTCAAGTCTGGAGTACGATTGTGAAACTTTTGCTATATAAATATTAAAGTTGCAAATTTCGGAGCACACATTGAAATATCTTTTGCTCATGTCCTCAGCTGCCTTCTTTACTGATGAGCAGGGGAAAGCAGCGTGGAAGAGAGGAGGTTGCTCTCTGTCTCTTCTCCAGGCTCCACAGGCTGGCCCCCTGCAGGGTATCGGGAAGAAATTCCAGCGACAGAACTTTCTCCTCCCACAGTAGTCCGCTTTGCTGGCATCTGGCTCTGCTGGAGAGACAGGCGGCAGATGGAGCTAGTGTGGGAGGAGAAAAAGATTGGTTTAGTCAAGTGGAATATGAACAGGAGGCCAACTCCAGTCAGAAGGAGGTTTTATGAGGAGAGAAGGGAAACACTTTCATTTTTGCCACCTCTTCCATATGGAAAACAGCACAGTTTGAGGGCAAAGGCAATATCAGGAGCAAGAATCCCCGTTGAGTGGAATGAAGTAGCATGTGTGTGTGTGTGATGAGGGCACATATTTTTTCCTTTTGAAATATGCCATCTCCTGTTCTTCCTCCCAGCCCTTCTGAAACAGTGTGTTGTCATATGCCAGTGCTCCTAGTCTCTTCATATTGAAGTCTTTGAGCCACAGGTTGCTGGGAGCCAGGAGACTGTTCTAGGGAATTACTCTAGTATTCAAGGGCTGTCCTAAAACATGAGACTTTTTCCCTAGGCCACTGCCTTTGACCACTATCAGTGACATGGTCTTGGGCTAAGTGGACCTGAGATTAGCCTCAGAACAGCTATTGTCATTCACATTGTTTAGATAGCACTGAAAATTCAACTTTCTTTTTGTTGGCAACAGCAAAGGCTGAAAGCATGGGAAATTTAAGGCAAAGGACTTGGCAACAACGTGTATATATTGTGGTGTTCAATCCTCTGTGTCAGCACAAGTGTTATACTGTTTTATAACAGTAGTACTTGATCGTAAATTGTGAAAACATGACAAATGTTTCTTATGACAATAAGAATAAACACACAAAGTAGGCTTCAGGAAAAAAGTGGTGTATGTTTAGTTGAATGAAATGTCACTAAACAAATGCTTAGGATGGTTGGAAAGCAGATTTTTTTTCTTTTAATTCTTTCTTTAAATAATGTGCAGATAATACCTGTTGAACATTATAAAATGCAGAGATCATTTATTTCCTCTTGTTATTCTGTCTCATTTAATCCCCATTGTTAATTGATTAGCAGAATCTGTGTAGTAGTGTTAGATTTTGTTTGTTTGTTTGTTTGTTTCAGTGTGGGTTTGTTAGGCAATGAACCAGGGCAATTTTTGGGACATATTACTGTAGTGCAAAGATATTAAATATTAATGTTATCTTTTCAAAGAAAAACACAAAGCTGAAGTTTACAACATTGCTGTTCTTTAGAGTTTTGCTGTCCTTCAGTAAAATTTCTTTTAACCAAGCATTTACATGGATTAAGTCCTCAAGCTTCCAATGGTAGCTGAGTTGTCAGTCCTGAAATGTTTGTAGTAGTTCATGTAACAGACATAGCTGAGTAGGATTCACATCATGGAGTACGGGACTCCAGAGGGGCACACTTGCACTCTGAGTCACTGAGAGCTTTGTGGTAAAGCTTCCTGAGAGATGCTTGTAAACTCATAGTTAAAGTAATCATGATGAGGTTTAAGATTCACATAGTCTTATGGGCAGGAAGAATTTAGCATTAATTTTCAAAGTTCACTGATTACCAGTGGCATTTTTGTGAGATATTGTTTGTGACATCATGAGAAAAAACAAGGACTACACTCTTAGCTCCCTTTTCTCAGTGCTGAATTATTGGTTCTGAAACAATAACATCAGTAAGTAAGTGCATTAATGGAAGACTATGTCCATCAATGTAGAGTTTTTCTACTATTTTTGACTAGTACACTAGCAGAGGAAAATGCCTATCAGTGAGATAATGAATGGAATAATACTTATTAAAAGAACATTTTAAATGTAAAATTGAAATAAGCACATACAAGATAGCTTGTAAATAAAAAATGATAGAGCAATCAACTTCCCTCCACCCTGGGTTCCTCACTATAGTAATAATATCTTGTGTTACTCAAAGATAACTCTTTTGCATGTTATTTGAACTGTCTATAGATGGTCTTTCACAAGTTATCATCCATATAGACCATCTGTATATTTATATATTTTCCTAAAATCAATAATATTGTCCTGTTTGAGCTAGTATTATACTGTGAGTTTATCTTCTATTGTTTTCTGTTAGTTTATGTATATATTTAAATAATAAGTATATGTATATGTAATATACTATTAAATATTCAATATAAAATTGCTAAAAAATGTCACCATGTTGTTAAGGAAAAAACGATTATTGAAACAATAATACCTTGGTCAGAAGACAGGATGAGCATGAATCTAGAATAGCATTCATCTCTGGATTCTAATACTGCCTACTCTTACTCTTGTGAGCCACTGTATCAGCTGGGTATTGCGTGAAGCCTGTTGAGCAAAGAAGTGTTTTTAGGATCACACCTAGTTTAATTGACTGTATCTGTGACGTGGGAAACACTAGAGACAAAGCATGCTTCATCATCTCTTTCCTCAAGCTGGCAGTTACGCTCCATTTTCCTTCTTCTAATGCTGAATATATAGACTTTAATCCCTAGGGGAGATCTTAAAATTACTCTTATTTTAGTGTGAGCAGCTCTTTAAAAAAATACAATCTTCTCTCTCCTCCCATTTTCAGAGATGTGACAGTTAAATTGCATATTGTGGAACAAAATACAGTGGAATCCAAACTTCAGAAAAATACTGTCCATTTCCTCCATGGTAATAAGTGGCTGAGAACCCTGTTGTTTTCATTGTTAATAAACTTTACAATTAGCCTCCAGCGCCTACTGAATGGTGATGCGTGACCTTTTCTTCCATAGGCTTTGGGTCTTTTAAGCTTAAAACCAGATCAGTTTAATTCTTCAGCTGGTAGTTGAAAAGGAATAAACATTTGGGAAGGGAAAAAATCCTCCAATATCACCTTTACACACTTTTCAGCTAGTGGGCTTGGTTGTCAGGTTTGCAAGCACAATACATAGTATTTTTATAAGTTGTCAAAATGCAAGCTCAAAACTATGGAGAAGCAATTCAGGTAGATTGGGTATAACTGGTGCCGTGTGTCCTAAAAGGAATTTACAGAGTCTTCTGTGTTGTTTTTAGTTGCAATCAGTATGAATGGTTCTCAGTCATTTAAATTCTGAATCTCATTCTTGCATAGGGTGTCAACT